AAAAAAAAATCCCATTCACATTAGCAACAAAAACTCTTAAGTACCAAGGGACAAATTTAGCAAAAAAAGGAAGGGCTTTTTATTTTGCATCTAAAATTCTTTCTGGTTGAAGAGGTGAAAAAAAGCATTTCATTGTGCTTTTTAATATGCACTTTTTGGACTACTTGTTACCTTGAGCAGCTTTCTGTGGAATTGTTTACCATTTGCATTTCTTCTTCGGTAAATCGCCCTTTTTCTACTGGGCTGCTTTCTTATTGATTTATAAGAACTTCTTGTCTATAAGGTATATTTACTCTTTGACATATGTGTTGCAGATATTTTTTCCCCAGCTCTTTTTGTCTTTTGACTTCATGAATGGTACCTTTTGCCATAAACTTTAAAAACCTTTTTATATTGTTCATATTGCTTGTCTTTATGCTATATATTTTTCTTTACCTACCTACCTAAAAATGAAATACTTTATTTTTTTTGCTAAATTTGTCCCTTGGTACTTAAGAGTTTTTGTTGCTAATGTGAATGGGATTTTTTTTTTCCAACTGGATATAGATGACATGGAGAAAAATTATTGATTTGTACATACTTGTTTTGTTTCCAAATAACTTACTAAATTCTTTCCAGGTTTTAGTCTATTGAGTTTTCTAGCCATATGGTCATATCATCTCCAAGTAGAGATACTTTTATCCCCTATTTCATTTTTTTCGTTTGTAGTACGATTAACTAGGACTTCTGTTAAAGTTATTAAACCTCTGATGAGTAAAAATCACATCTGTTGCTCTGTGCCATGACTTCCTGTATAACATTGTCATGTTTCCTCTTCACAGCAGAAGTTGTTGGTATCAAATGACTTCAAAGCCAGTAGTATCGTGCAGGCTCCTTCCTTCCCAACTAGCTTCTGAGCTCTTTAAAGTTAGGGATCATGTCCCTTATTTTATGTCCCTCACAGAACCTAGCAGAGAACTGGACATATATTAAACACACATCGAAGTGTCAGATGTGTTGAATGTGCTCCTAACCTCTTTAGTGTTCCTCACTTCTTCCTTGAAGCCAGCTCTGACCTTATAGGACTCTAGATCAGATGTCCAAAGTGCTCTTTGCCCAAAGGGCCCTTCTTCCTTACCCACCCTATAGAATTTAGATTTTTTCAGTCTCTACACCAGACAGGTTCCTCTTCTCAAACTTGATCAGCATCAACATCACTTGGAGAGCTTGTTAAAACATAGATTGCAGAGTCACCCTCAAAGTTTCTGATTTAGTAGGTGTGGGGTGTGGGACCTGAGAACACTGCATTTCTGACAACTTTGGATGCTTCAGGTTCTGGCAATGCAATTTGAGAACCACTGCTCTAGACTGTAGTTGGTGACCTCGCGAATGAGAGGCTATGGGTTCTTTGCATGAAAAAGCCAGATTCTTGTGGTGGTCCAAGTTCTGCTCACACAGCCAGGTCCTCTTTAGTTCACCCGAGGGCATCTGCTCAGACCTTGTCCCTCTACCACAAGTCTGTGCACTGGAAGTCAGAGTATGTGTCAGGGGCACACAATGTTCATCTTTCACAGCATAGGTGATTTTGAAATGAAAAGCATTTTTTAGGCTTAATGGAAATCCACTCCCCTTTCCACCTTCTCAGCCTCTGCACTTAGATACCTTCATGAAAACAGAATCATCCATCGGGATCTAAAGCCAGAAAACATCGTCCTGCAGCAAGGAGAGCAAAGAGTGAGTGACTACCCCGGGACTTGGAAAGTCCTGGAGACTGCCTCAGGGAAGTTGCTCTGGTAGAGAAGGAACAAACTTTACATGTTTGTTTATATTCGCTTTGATTCTCTGGGAATGCTTTTTGATTTGGATCAAAATTCAGCAAAAAAATTCTTGCTTGCAGATTGAGGCAAGTTTGAATGGATCACATTGTTAATTGCCCAAGTTGCAGGAATCTGATAAGGAAAATAATGTTTGTCTTCCCACCTTCACCCCCAACCTTTGGGACTAGCACTTCTTGGAAATAGACTTTTTGTTTTCCGTTTGTTTGAGAGCATCCGCTCTTGATGCTAACATGGAAACCAGCACGAAGGTGGTTCTGGGTGTGGCTGAGAAGAGGCATTTGGAGCTGGCACCTGCCCGTGGAGCCTGGTCCAGCCTGCAGTTTCCCCAGAGCTCTTAGCAGCCCTCTTCAGTGGCCCTCCTTCCTAGGTGTGGTGGTAACATTCCCATGGGGCTTAGCACTGTGCTCTTCCACAGACTTGTTTTTTTTAGCTGGGGATGATGAACAGGGGCTCAGCTGAGTGGACTGTAGTAACTCAACTCATGGGTCACTTAATCTCTCTGATGCACCTTCTGTCAGCATTCTGGGCTGACCCATGATTATCACAGCACTCACCTTTGTTTCAGTTCACTCATTCTTACCATTGGTTCTAAGAATTGAGAACTAAAGGTTTCCACTGAGAAGGGATTGGCCTGGTCTCTCACATCATGAAGTCCAGGTTTAGCAGTCTTGAGGTCTAGTGCATGGTCTGTTAATGATGGCCTTTCTCTGGTGACTGGTCACAGCGCAAAGGAGAACATATGCCTTTTTTCAGCATTTTCACAGTGTGTGTTTCCTTTTGCCCTAAATCTACCATGTTGGAGGCATTCTTCTGTGAATTTGGTAGTTCTGAGGAACTTATTATCTAATACCACCTGGGATTTCAGAAATATCCTCTGCTCTGTCAACAACAATCAGAATTTTTATAGGAGGACAGTGTATTCTCATAACCCTCAGATTTTTCTTCCTTCCCTTTTTTTTTCCAGTTAATACACAAAATTATTGACCTAGGATATGCCAAGGAGCTGGATCAGGGAAGTCTCTGTACTTCCTTTGTGGGGACCCTGCAGTACCTGGTAAGACATGGGATTTACATGTTTGCTGATCAGTTTCTGTCTCATGGCCATATCTCTGGGGCTCCTCTCTATCCTTGCCTTCTAGCATCTAAGTCTTGCCAGCTCTTTGGATGTTTCTTAGATGCATAAGAATTGTTGTATGAGGTCAGAGGCAGAATCTGTTCAAGTCAGCACTTTTTGCCAACAGAGGCCCTATAGAAAGATGTGATCCTCTTCTTTGGTGTCAGAAGAGCTCTGCTAGTGTGCTGTCACACAAATCTCATAACCTCTGAGATTCAGTATTTTACCTGAAAATGAAGAGTTTAAACTAGATTCATGCTGGTCTGTAGAGGCCACAGTTTCCATGAGGCGTCTCGGGCCATTGAGGAGGAGCTGAGCTCTGAGCTCCCACCCTTTATGTTATTTCGTCTGAATATTGGGGTTCTATTTGAGTTATCCATTCATTCAAGAAATATTGATCGAGTGTGGTCTGTGTGCCAGGTATTGTGCTAGAAGCTGATGATGCAGTGGGAAAGAAGACAAGCCTTTCCCTGGCTTTGGGAGCTTAGAGTTTAGCAAGGAAGCAGGTATTACACTGACACACAAATGACTGAGAAAATGCAGTTCTGATAAGTGTGATAAGAATATATATTAGGAGGACCTAGCCTAGTGTAAGACCTGAAGCGATGGATAAGTGAAAAGGGGCTGGAGGTGGGTGGACTGAGAGGAAATTCCAGGCATAAGGATAATATATTAGGAGACCAGAAAGTGTGGCTGGAACCTAGAGAAGAAAGGAGAGAGTATCTTGAGTTGAAGCTGGAGAGAGGGGCAGGGGAGAGATAATACAGGGCATTTGGGGCTGGGTTAAAGATTTTAGACTTTATCCTAAAACCTCTGGAGAGACATTGAAGGATTTTAAGTTAGAGGGGGATCAGGTTTACCTTTTAAAAAGACCACTTTTGGTACAGTGGGGAGAATAAATTTCACTGAACAAAAATAAATCTGGTCAGGTAGTAAGGAGGTTGTTGTGATAGTCCAGAGCTGGTGGCAGCAGTAAGGACGTAGAGAATGATTCATGGAATGCTTAGCAAGAGACTCAGCAAAACTTGGTAATAGATTGCTTGTGGGATGATAACAGCCAGTAAAATGTTGATTGAATGAAGGAGTGTACAGTTTAAAAATCAAATACAAAAAAAAGGTTGAAAGACATTAGGCTAGATGAGCTTAAGTATCCTATCTAGTTCTCAAAAAAAAAAAAAAAACCATTCTGAGTGCATTTGTACTTCCTACTTATCCCATCAACCATGGTCATGGGCTCCACCAGTTTATCACCTACTCTGAGGAATATAGGTTTCAGAGTGGCAACTCATGGATGGGTATGATGCAGGGGCCTGTGCCCGTATAATGTAATCACGTTGGTCCTGCTGTGTGTCCCCTGGAATCCTCATTAACTCAGCCACAGTTAAGTGAGAGGGACCCCAAGCTCTGACCAGGATGCTCAAGTCAAATCTTACACTTACAGGAGCTAAAACTTCTGTCCATAACCAGACACAGATTAATCTGACCATCCCCTAATTTTTCCTCTTGTTTTAGACTCCTTGGCTCTTTCATAACTGTCACACTTCCAGCAGACTGTGCACAGTCCTGTCTCTGTGCCTTTGCTTGTGATGGTCATTTCTGGAATGTTTCCTCTCAGACACTCATGTGAGGAGCCTTCTTCTAAGCCTGGTTCCGGTCCCACCTGTGCTTCGATGATTTCCTTGGTCACTCCAGCTCTTTCTACTTGGGCAACAGTCATGCATCTGGCTTTTTCTCTGCCTGATTGTATATATTCCATCCCATTGTACGACCATGTCATATACCACATCAGTTAGGAGAGTTGGTTAGCATATGGGATCATTTTCCTTTGTTGTATGCAGCCTATCTTCCCATCTCCTCACAGAGCCTAAGAGAAGGGTATACGATATACTCTGGTCTACCTAAAAATCCCCTAAGGGCCCTTGTATCAGCATTAGGAATGAATGAGGTACAGAAATACCACCACCTAAATGTGGTCACCTCCTCAGCCTTGAGTGGATGTGCCGGTGCCCCATGGTTGGAGCCGGGAAAGTGTGGGGCATGATTAGAAGGGCTGGTTGCCCCTTGCTGTGGTGGCTCCTTAGAAGAGGGAGCAACTCAGGTGTGTCTACACCATGCGTTGTTTCAGGCCCCGGAACTGCTGGAGCAGCAGAAGTACACAGTGACTGTCGACTACTGGAGCTTCGGCACCTTGGCTTTCGAGTGCATCACGGGCTTCCGGCCTTTCCTCCCCAACTGGCAGCCTGTGCAGTGGTGAGTGAGAGACCACGGCCCTGGGACCGGGGCCGGGCAGTCTCCTGAAGGAAGGAGTGTGTTCCTCTTTCTTTGCCATGTCGCTTCGCCTGTTCCCACCTCACTGGGCACTCTCAGGCTGGGCCGTGATCTGTCTTCCAGAGAGAAAAAGTCCTGTTGGAATGTAGCATGTGGACAGTCCAAGCTCCAAAGCCTAGAAAAGTAGAGCAGTTGTTAAGTATTAACATCTTTAAATGTAATACTATATAAATGACATTTTCTTGGTGTTCGATAGCATCAAGTCAGTACATTCACAGACTGTTGTGTACATTCGTGCACTTACACTGAAAATGCTTGTGTTTTAGTAAATAAAAGATATGTACATATGACAAATGGGAAATATTTACATAAAAATTTATTGTTGACAAATTTTACTATACCAAAATATAAATTTTTGTTTTAAAAACATAAGAAAGTGGCTTAAAATGTGAACCAAGTAAGTTACAAAAAAAGATTTTCTAATTAAAAAAAACAGATATAATTTTTAAAAATTACTTCATATTCTTTAACTTTTTAAATATAAAATAACATGTTATTCCTTATATATATAAAAGTTAATCATTACTGGAATGTACAATTTAAAATTTACATTCTCCTAAATCAGTTAGGTTTCATTCAGAATTGTTTCTTGAGAAGGCCACACGCTAATTTAAATAATCCTACTGTTATTCAAAATTTTTTTATTTTCAGTTTTGTTTTTTTTTTTTGAGCGGTAATGGTTCACATGGTTCAAACTTCAAAAAGTATAAAAGAGTATATACAGTGACAAGTCATCTCATACTGGCTCCCAGCCACCTGGTCTTCTTTCCCACAGAAACCTGATAGCACTGGTTTTTTGGTGTGCTTCTAAAGATGTTTCATACGTATCCAAGCACATTGGCATGTATTGGTTTGTTATTTAATTTGTGTGTCTCTCTCCTTCTTTACATTAATGCTAGCGTCATATGAATTCTGTCTTGTATGTGCTCTTAAAGCATTTTTACACTGTGAGAATTTCTTTCACATACCCTGGAAACAATCATAACTGTTTTTGTGTATCTCCAGGCTTTTCAGCATGTGTGTTATACTTAAAAAGACACAAATTACATATTCTCATATAATCTGCTTTTCATATTGACTATTGAAAATACTTATTTTTTACCATATTGTTTGGTATTCCACTGAGTAACTTACGCCCATTGTTGGAAACGTGGGTGGTTTATAATTTTTAC